GGCGTGGTCTTGCTCGTTCTCCTCGACAAACCGGAGCTTGAACTCGGCCACAAAGGAGGACCAGGTCGGAAATGGGAAGACGAGGCGCTCTGACATGCGTTCTGACCAGGAGGCCGCCGAGTCCTTGGACATGTAGGAGAGGGCGAAACGTACCACCCGCTCTTCTGATACTACCCCGTTCACATGGAAGGCCTCAGGGAGGAGGCGCCAGTACTGCTTGACGGAATGGAGAAACGTCTTGCCCTGGGTGCGATCTCCGTCAAACGCGAATGGGGGATTGGGGCGGATGAGGGGTCTCGAGCTGGCCTGTTGGCCAGTAAATACACCTGGACCCACTGCCGGAGACGGGGCAGGGACAGGGGCAGGCTGTTGCTGTTCGATTATGAAGTTGTTGAGGAGTCCCTCTATTCGCTGCATGGCTTCCTCTAGATTACCAAGTCGCTGCTCAGGGGAGGACCCGTGGTCTTCTTCTTCCATGTAGGACATGATGATCGTAGAGGGGGAGGAGGGGACAAGATTGGAAGTGAGAGGCGTATGACGCTATCGGCGGTCTTCACAAGCTTGTCCAGTTATCCCTAGGAACTCGGTTTCTGCTGTAAGGGCAACCTCGAGGCCCGATCTCAGAGTCCTGACAAGGGAGAGTCCAAAGCGTCAGATAAGGGGATCGACTAGTACAGGAGACTGGCAAACCTGACAAGGGAGAGTCCAAAGAGAAACCGAGTTGGGGACTCTCCTTGTCAGGGCCCACTATATATAGCCTACAGAACAATGGATGACGAAGCACAATGGAAGCGCCAGACAATGGGGCCAGGGAACAATGAGGGGCCGGATCGGGGGGAACAATGGGAGCCGGACCGTCGGAACAATGGGGGTGCGGGCCGGAGTGTCATGTGGACGCGCTTGGCAGGGAAGTCCGGACCGAAGCATGTGACGCTTGACAGATGGCACGTGCGCGGTCACATGCGAGATCCCATGATGATCGGACGAAAGCAGGGGTTCCCCTGACAATGTGCAGGCAATGCACCATCAAAATATGGACGATATGCAGTCAAAATATGCACTATATGCATGCTGGAAAATGTGTAGGCTATGCACGGCGCACGATGTGCATGGGTGCAGGCTATGCACGCCAGAAAATGCGCAGGATGTGTGCAGTGCATGATATGCATGGGTGCAGGCGACGCATAGGCACAGGTGCAGGCTAGCCAATGCCAAAAAGCACAATATGCATAGTAGGAAATAGACAGGATATGCGCTAGTGCAGGCCATGCACTGTCAAAAAGCACAATATGCACAGGCGAAGAACAGTGCACAATATGTGCAAGTGCAGGCTATTGAAAAAGCACGATATGCACCACAAGAAATATGCAGGATATGCGCAGGTGTAGGCTAAACACCGTCGAAAATGCGCAATATGCACGCAGAAATATGCAGGATATGCACAGCGCACAATATGCACAAGCACAGGCTATGCACAGTCGAAAAATGCATGATATGCACCACAGAGAAGGCGCAGAATATGCGCAGTGTAAAAATGCACAATCTGCACGCCAAAATACGCAGAATAGGCGCAGCGCATGACAGGCGCAGGTGCAGGCTATGCACCATCAAACATGCACGGTATGCCCAGTCGAAAATACGCAGAAAATGGGCAAGTGCAGGCTATGCACAGTCGAAAAATGCACAATATGCACCAAGGAAAGGTGCAGAATATGCGCAGCATACAATATGCGCAGTGAAAGCTATGCACAGTTGAAAAACGCACGATATGCATGCCAGAGAATGCGCAGAATATGCGCAACGCACGATATGCGCAAGTGCAGGCTATTGAAAAAACACGATATGCACCACAAGAAATATGCAGGATATGCGCAGGTGTAGGCTATACACCGTCGAAAATGCACAATATACACGCAAAAATACGCAGGATATGCACAGTGCACAATGGGCGCAAGTGCAGGCTATGCACAGTCAAAAGATGTACAATATGCACTACAGGAAGGGCGCAGGATATGCGCAGCGCACAATAGGCGCAAGTGCAGGCTATGCACCATCAAAACTGCATGATATGCACAGTAGAGAACACGCATAATATGCGCATCACACAATATGTGCAGCAAAGGCTATGCACAGTCGAAAATTGCACAATATGCATGCCAGAAAATGCGCCGGATATGCGCAGGTGCAGGCCATGCACACTCAAAATGCAGGATATGCACACCCAAAAATACGCAGAATATGCGCAGGTGCAGGCCATGCACACTCAAAATGCACGATATGCACAGTAGAAAACACGCAAATATGCGCAGCGCACAAATGGGGCATGTGCAAGCTATGCACCATCCAAAATGCAGGATATGCACGCCAGAGAATACGCAGAATATGCGCAATGCACGATAGGCCCAGTGCAGGCTATGCAGTCGAGAGAAAGCATGATATGCACGCCAGAGAATACGCAGAATATGCGCACGTGCAGGCTATGCACGGTCGAAAATGCACAATATGCACAACAGGAAGGGCGCAGACTATGCGCAGCGCACGAAAGGCGCATGTGTAAGCTATGCACCATCAAAAATGCACGATATGCACACCCAAAAATACGCAGAATATGCGCAGCGCACAATATGCGCAGTGCAGGCTATGCACAGTCGAGAAAAAGCACAATACGCACCAAGGAAAGGCGCAGAATATGCCCAGCGCACAATATGCGCAGTGCAGGCTATGCACAGTGGAAAATGCACGATATGCACACCCAAAAATACGCAGAATATGCGAAGCGCACGATATGCACAAGTGCAGGCTATGCACAATCGAAAAATGCATGATATGCACCACAGGGAGGGCGCAGAATATGCGCAGTGCACGATAGGCGCAGTGCAGGCTATGCACAGTCGAAAAATGCACGATATGCATGGTGGAAAATGTGCAGGCTATGCACCGTCGAAAATGCACGATATGCAGTCGAAATGTGCGCAATATGCACGCCGGAAAAACGCAGGATATGCGCAGCGCACGATATGCGCAAGTGCAGGCTATGCACGGTCGAAAAATGCACGATATGCATGCTGGAAAATGTGCAGGCTATGCACCATCGAAAATGCACGATATGCAGTCGAAATATGCACGATATGCAGTCGAAATATGCACGATATACACGCCGGAATAACGCAGGATATGCGCAGCGCAGGCTATGCACCGTCTAAAAATGCACAGAGTGCAGGGCAGGAACATGCATGATATGCACAGAAGCAAAGACACTGGAGATGCGCAGCAGAGATCATGCAAAATATGCACAACAGTTACAACCCACTAGATTCGCAGTAATTATTGACGCTATGTGGCCCAGGCCAGCGGCTGGGTCAAGACCAACGGTCCAGAACGAGCTGAGACCATAGAATGTCCCTGCAGCGTTGTTAGACAACGCCAGGAACCCAAAAGAACGAAAATATGCGATAATATCGCACCAAGTGCGATTAAATCGCAGGATTTGAACGTCCAATAAGAATGGGAGGGAAACCCGAATAAGAGCGGAATTGAAGCGAAGAGGTGTCTCCAGCATGCAGGGCTTGGAAGACAGACTGCTGGAGCAGATGCGCAGTGAGAAATCGAAGGAATCGAGTGAGAATATCGCTGAGAGGATCCCGGGGTTGAGAGCTTGGGTGGGAAGGAAAGGAGAGGGTGATGAGGGGTGGGGGATGTAGAAGGCGTCGTCCTGATGTCAGAATTGGGTCGGAAAACATTGCTCTTGTTGAGCTCTAATTATAAAAGGAGGTCGAAGTACTCATCTCCATGGATGGGATGGGTCAATAGCCCTGACAATGCTCTCAAATTGTCCAAATTTCGAAATTGAGATGGAATCCATTGTGCAGAGATTAATGCAGACATTGAGGACTTCTGGGCGTTTCATAGTCGAGGAAAACGATGAAAGGGTGTGTAGAAAAGCGCAGAAAGGGGAATTTGTCGAGGATGAGATCGCCGGCAGGTGGGTGGAAGGAGAGAGTGAGCTCACAGCCACCCCCTGCTCTTCGGCTCTCTCCCTCACAAGATGATGCATTGATCTCCCTCTCTCACTCAATGCATCCAAATTTGCGTGCCGCGTGATTCCACCCTAAGAAGTTCTGCCACCCCTGCCCGGTCGCGGCGAGTTGCTCCCTGAGCACTTGTAGCTACTGTGATTTGAGTTTGAGTTGAGACATCAGAAAGTCGGATTCGCCGCATCTGGTTTAGTCGCGGCATTTAGTGTCGTCGCCTTCGGGCTTTGTTGAGAATCGTTCCACACCTCTAGCTTGGCAGTGCGTCGACTAGTTGTGCTCGGTTTGTTTTGGTCAGTTGGCAGTGCGTCGACTTGAGAACTTTGGTTCCACACTTCTTGCTTGGCAGTGCGTCGACAAGTTGTGCTCGGGTTTTGGACATTGGACATTGGCTGTTAGTTGGCAGTGCGTTGACGCGGCATTTTGGTTTACTAGTTGGCAGTGCGTCGACTCAGTATATTGGTCGTATCGGTTGGCAGTGCGTCGACTTGATATTTGGGCTTTGCGTCACCATCTAGACGCTGTCGCTACAAGGGATCTTAATACTCCGTATTAAGTTCTGACTTGTTATATTGTTATTTGTGGATTGGATTAGTGTTGGTTGTGTTCGTATAGAAGATATTGGTTGAGATACCATTGTTTGCTATATATAAATTCTTGTCGTCGACTTCGCCTCCGCGACTATTGGATCTGCGTCTATTGAGAGTTGTGATACTGGTGTTCTGTCCACCCCGAAGCCCTCGCATCTTTCACACACTGAGAAGCTGATTACGAGGAGTGTGAACGTGTTTATATTTGGTCTTACTTTCATAGTAGATTCACTTGTGAGCACGCCCTCAGCATTTCACCGCTCCTGCTCCTCGTCCCACGACTATCACGTGGGCCAGCCCAATCGGCGACATCACCGTTGCCGATCGATGGGCGGACCTTCGTGACGACGAATTGACATACACTCAAAGGCAGAAGCGGATGATGGCTCGCAATGCAGCCTTGATGGGTGCACTGGGTCTCAAGCAAGCGGCTGTGAAGGCGATGGGACCGGATGGGTTGGTCGAAAAGGCAAAGAAGCCCACGAAGAGAAAGATGCCAAGCAAGGAGCTTGCGCCCGAGAAACGGAGACAGTCGTCGCGCCTACAGAGCGATTCTTTGATGAGTGATTCTTCGATGGACGTGGACCAAGCGGATGTGGGTGATCGTTCCGGGTTGCAAGATGGAGGAGATTTCGCGTCAATGGATGTGGACGAGGCTGGCGCTGGATCAGGAGTGAGTGGAGATGCGGAGGATTTGGCACCGCTGAACTCGGAAGCGAATGCTCCAAGTCCCAAGACTCTGGACAACGCAACTCTGGCTGATGAGGGCGGCTCTGAGGGCGGCACGATTGCAGGGGGGGCAGCCAAGCCCGACTCGGATGCTCCTGAGCCGCATTCCCCACCTGCCCCCGACCCGCAAGTCCCGACCACACGTCCCCGCTGCCCCGATAAAGCTGCTGTCTGGTTCCAGAATGCACACAAGAAGTTCATGGCAGTGGATCTTGGACCGGATTTTGATGCTGTTGTCACTGCCTGGATGAGGGTAGAGGATGCGTCGCGGTATGCCGCAGGCGACGAGGGTATCTCCTCCAATCATCGGCCTGCGGCAGTGACAACCTGGATCCGGAGGAAGAGGACCAAGATTCCGTCGATTCCGGACACTGATGCATATCCGATGCAGTGGGAGAAGTGGTGGACAACTCTGCAACCGGAATGGCGGGTTGCGGACACTGTCGGTGGAGCAGGATGGTCACGGGTGGAGTACGGAGCTGGTGGTCGAGAGTGGGGCCCGCTTTACAGGTGGGGTCCCAATGGTGCTCAGAATCTGGTCGCTGCGTTTTATTTCTGGGGACTGCGGCTGCGAGAGTCGTCAACAAGTAACCAGATCGCTGTATGGAATGAAGCTGTGCAGGACCTCGGTTGGATGCTCGAGGGATTGGCTTCATTCTACGAGCTATGGAAGAAGCTCCTGGTAGTGCTTTTAACATTGTATTTGTGTAGTCTATGCACGTGATCATATATCTTATTGGAGTTGATACCAGTCCACACTGCATAGTGATGGTGGTATCAGCGCCTGATGCGCATCTTCAACTCCCGTCTGAGACGGATGAGTATTTGCGGATCGAAAGCGTGTCATCCTATACAATGCGCGTGCCAGCCCAGCAACGCATGTGGATCCTGCTAAATATGTGGATTCACCTAGAACATCACTAATGCCGCACAAATTGATGCGCAACAGCGGTATCGGCGCGCCGGATGGGTATCCCAGTGTGCGCACGTGGACTGGCGCGGTATTGGCCGACGGATTGATGCGATAAACCGTGCACGTGGAGGGGCGCACAAGTCGCGGCAAACGCCGCAGAGGCAAGGGAATGATGCAAGCAATACCGCCCTAGGATCCCGCCGCCCATGGTGTAGAATCACTCATCATGCATCATTACCATCATCAACCTTCCTGCCGACGCTGCCGCTGTCTGTGGGCACAGTATGGCGTAGTTGGGTGCCACAGCCACCGCCCATGGCTAGCACCATACGTTAGTATGGCATTTCCATGGCTAGCACCATGTCTCATTATCCTAAATTTTAGTGCTATGGCTCTTGGGTGCTCATTTCCTGCGATTAAATCGCACCCAGTGCAAGATTATGGCATATTTTCGGTCTTTTGGGTTCCTGGCATTTTCTGACAACGCTCCAGGGGTATTCCACGGCCACTCATCATTCTGGATTGTTTTTCCTGGACCAGGCGCTGCTCGATTCCACATAGCGTCAATATTTACTTAGCATTTGTGCATATCATGCATTTTTCGACTGTGCATCGCCTGCACTGCACCTATCATGCGCTGCGCATATTCTGCTCCCTCCCTGTCGTGCATATCATGCATTTTTCGACCGTGCATAGCCTGCACTTGCGCATATCGTGCGCTGCGCATATTCTGCGCCTTTCCTTGGTGCCTATGGTGCATTTTCTTGACTGTGCATAGTCTGCACTTGCGCATACTCTGTGTGTTTTTCTACTGGGCATACCATGCATTTTCCACTGTGTATAGCCTGCACCTGCGCCTATCATGCGCTGGGCATATTCTGCGCCTTTCCTTGGTGCATATTGTGCTTTTCTCGACTGTGCATAGCTTGCACTTGCGCATATTGTGTGCTGCGCATATTCTGCATATTTTGGGCGTGCATATCGTGCATGGCGTGCATGTCATGCAATTTTCGACTGTGCATAGCCTGCACTTGAGCATATTGTGCGCTGCGATTATTCTGCGTCCTTTCTGGCATGCATATTGTGCACTCTTTGATTGTGTATATTCTGCGTATCTTTTGGGCGTGCATATCGTGCATTTTGAGTGTGCATAGGCTGCACATGCGCATATCATGTGCTGCGCATATTCTGCGTCCTTTCTGGCGTGCATATCGTGTATTGTGCACTGCACATATTCTGCGTATTTTTGGGCGTGCATATTGTGCATGTTGTGCATGTCATGCAATTTTCGACTGTGCATAGCCTGCACTTGCGCATATTCTGCGTCTTTTCTACTGGGCAATATCCTGCGTATTTTCAGAGGGCATATCGTGCATTTTTGATGGTGCATAGCCTGCACCTGCGCATATCCTGCGTATTTTTGGCGTGCATGTCATGCACTTTTGATGGTGCATAGCTTGCACATGCACCATTTGTGTGCTGCGCATGTCCTGCGCATTTTCTGGCATGCATATCGTGCATTTTTCGACAATGCATAGCCTGCACTTGCGCATATTCTGCGTATTTTCTACTGGGCATATTGTGCATTTTGATGGTGAATCCCCTGCACCTGCGCCCCTTGTGCGCTGCGCACATTTTGCGTGTGTTCCACTGTGCATATCGCGCATTTTTGATGGTGCATAGCCTACTCCTGCGCATATCCTGCGTATTTCTGGCGTGAATATCGTGGTTTTTGATGGTGCATAGCTTGCACATGCCCCATTTGTGCGCTGCACATATCCTGCGCATTTTCTGACATGCATAGCCTGCACTTGCGCCTATTGTGCGCTGTGCATAACCTGCAGCTTTTCTTAGTGCATATCGTACAATTTCGACTGTGCATAGCCTGCACTTGCGCCTATCGTGCGCTGGGCATATCCTGCGCCTTCCTTAGTGCATGTCGTGCCTATTTCGACTTGATTAGCCTAGAATTGCGCATATCCTGCGTTTTCCTGCGGTGTATATCATGCATTTTTGACAATGCATAGCCTGCATCTGTGCATGTTGTGCGCTGTGCATAGCCTGCACATTTTACCGGCGTGCATATCATGCATAATTCGACTGCATTTCGTGCATTTTTGACAGTACATAGCCTGCACATCTGCATATTGTGTACTGGGCATAGCCTGCACATTTTCCAGCGTGCACATCGTGCATATTTCACTGACACACAAGTTGTGCTGCTTTCTTTGGGTGAGCCGGCGTTGTTCTGGCTGGGCAGCACATTTTGGGGTCATCCGCACCCCACCGGCTTTGCGCCCTGGGCTCAGCTCCCACACCCAATCACACTACTGTTGTGCAACACAGTATTTTATTTGATGAAATGTCTGGCCAGCAAAGGCTCAACTGAAGAAGAAACTGAAAGTACTTCACTCTACCACACATCTTCAGTTGACTTTCAGTTCATTTGCAAACTCCGAATTTCAATCATATCTTATTGAGACAAGGATGCAATATGTCATTGGGGCATGTGTTGTGTGACAATCAACAAGAAATAATGTCGAAAAGAGAAGTGAATTCAAAGACTGGAGAATACAACCAAGTAGCTACAGTATTTATACCCAAATCCAGTCTGAGTCATATCTACAACTAATGAGTCATAAGACTATGTACCGCATGGAGCACTGGTCATGGGTTGTAGTAGAACCTTCCAGAGCATATGTTGTGCAGCCTTGAATCAATAAAGATAATCCCCTGGACCCCTAGCCTGGACCATCAGATGCCGTGATCTGTGATAAGATAATCTGTGCCAAGATAAGATAAGATCGTCAATGATAAGATGAGAAAAGGGCTGAACTATGACTTCTTGGGACCACTCACCCACTTTCAGTATGAGCATACATGTAGTCTGTGACTTTCAGAAATGAATTTATTAGATGTTCAATCTTTATTCATCATTTGATTGGCTGATCAATCTACCAAAGATCGGTGATCCTATTGATGCTATTGATGGCATTGGTGATATTGATGATATTGATAGGATCTTGTGTACGCCTCCAGTGCCTCCAGGGTCCCCCATTCTCTAATTTTAACATTCTGCAGCAATTAAACTAGCATGTAGAGGTGGAAATGACAGAATGTGGTCAGCCAGGAGAATATCGATCTGTTACATTGTCATCTTATCCAGACTCTTCAAGTAATAACCTATGGAGGCAGTGGAAGCCAGTTCTGCCATTTGCTCCCACATTAATTTCATGTGCCAAGACATCTATCTAAAGGACCCTCGTACTTAAAATGAAGATCTTGAACATGATGAACATGGTTTGGGCTGCTCAATCCAAAAAAATGCTTTTAGCCCGCAGCTGTGAAGGTGGTGGAGAGCTTTTCTGTGATTTCCTCCAGCACCCAATTCACATGCTGAGCTATTGCCCTAGAGAACTCTGTGCATCCAAATGAAGATGACAACGTGATGGACATGGTTTGTGTGGCTGAATCTACAATAACCACTTTTGATCCCCAGCCCTGGAGGCAGTGGAGGCTTGTTCTGCCACTGCTCCAGCATCCAATTTATATGCTGGGCTGTTGTTTTGACAAAGCATAAGCATCAAATTGATCTATTGAAGCGGAATTCAAGGGCCTGTGGGCTACCCAACACCTTTTTTTCTGCCCCTGGGAGGCTGTGGAGTATGGAGGCCTGCAACAGCATGCTGATAAGCAATGACTTGTCATTCATAAGCAATGAGTTGAATCATTAATCGGTGATCTCTTGAGTTTTGTCACATGTTCGTGAATCAGGACCCCATGCACCAGGCCTTATGAAGTTTGTTTTCCAGAACCTAGCTTAGAGACTACGTAGGTAGATACAGTTAATCCCGTGTATCTCAATAAAGTGCCGCCCGGGATGGAGGAAGGGATGTCACTGATTGTGACTGCACGTGCCAAAAGTCGAACTTTGAACGCTGTGTGTCCATTTGAGATACAGCATTTTGTAGAGGGATTGGCTTGCACGTCACTATTGTAGAGCACAGAAAAACTAAACTAAGCAAGGGACAACAGCCGGAAGAATTGGCAGTATTGTGAGCATCGATGTTGGCTCGGGAACTTCTTAAACAAAGAACCGACATTTCTGCCTCCAAATAGGCCCTGCTTGAGTTCCCTACCAGTCCGATAAGATAATGTTAGATCATCTGCGGGAGATAATAGATCTTACGGAGATGTCATGATCTGAGGGTCGCTCAAACACGTTGGCAAACCTGTGAATAAATCAATGAGAGTCAATGATATTAGAGGAAACAAACCTTGGAGGTCAGAAAGGAATACCAAGCCCTTGGATTTCTTGTATTGAACGTGCTGCATGAAGCACAAAAATATTGCAATGGGATAATGTACAGAGTCGGGACCAATGGAGCAGACTGGAACTGCGCTTGCATTGTTGATAAATTTGACAAACGACTTGTTGTTGTCTCCTGTAGATTTCTTGAGCAAAAATACACTCAAATAAATGAATGCAAACCAGAAGATTCAATCAACTCTTCAATAAGAAAGGTGCGGCGGATGGAGTTTGTGTCCTTGACAGTTTTCCCTGTTGCCACGGGTTTGTGAATGATGGCAACCCCTGCCTCCACAAAGCGGATATCGAAGATGGGTAGATGCGCCGGAGGTGGCCTATTCTTCTCGATAAAATCGCAAATAAATGCGTAGGAGAAGTTGTGAATGGAGATTGCCCAGAATAGAATATTGCCCTCCTGCACAGTCTGACAAAGTTCTTTGGTTGGAGAGAAACGCTTCAGTTGCTTCTCTCAATCCACAAAATCAAACATTTGCTTAGCAGT